TAATAATATGTATTATAATATTATATACTTATACATAATATATAATATCATATAAATATATTAATATGTATATTACATATTAAAATAAGGGATTATATACAATGAGACTATTTACCTCTGATACAAGGTGGTCACAATTCCTTTCAACCATTTGATGTAAAATTTGATAGTTTGGATGTATAACAAAGTTCGAGAAAATTTCTTTTGAAGTTTGAGCTTGGTCAATAGAATAATTATAATCACCCAATTTCACATCCAATGGTCAAGATTAATGTGACCACCTTGTATCAAAAGTAAACAGTCTCGTTCTATACTTTCCCTATAAAATAAATATATAATATAATATAATATTATAATATTATATAATGTTATAATAATATATTATATTGTATTATATTATATTATATTATATTATATTAAGGTACTGTTTGTATAGAGCCTAGGCTCTAAACAATCAAATTAGAACCTACCTTCAAATAGTGTCGAGAAATGTGGTTTCAATATTGGAAATCTATGTTATTGTCTTCAAATATATTTTCATCTAATGCAAATCGGCAAATCTATGAAAACTTGAAAATCATGAAAATTTACAATCCAAAAATGCATTACAAAATACCCTATCTCCAAAACTTGAAATCCATTTTTTTCTCATGTTCATGCATCTTGATATCAAGATAATCAATTTGAAGACATTTGAGTATCAATACAACCTCTTCCGATGAAATTTTTGATGTAAGCTCTAATTTGATTATTTAGAGCCTTAACTCTATATAAATTTTTCCCATTATATTATTTTGTATTTATAATACTTATATTATATATTTATATTATGCATACTAAATAATGATCAACAAAAACGTTATGAAAGATTAAATTCCTACCTCTCCCTCAAAAACTTAATCTTTCATGTTTTAACAAAGAACTCAAAACTTTCATTGGAAGATTACTTTTAAACTTTTAGTTGAAACCGTGCATCGAATGCAGAACTTTTGAAAATTTAGACGAAAAACAAACGTGCCCTAAAAGACGCTAGAGGATGGCCTGAAAATCGCCTATTTAAATGAGATAAGACCGGTTCAATAGAAAGGAAGGATTGAGTACAACTTGTATATGTCTAAATCGTCAGTATAATATATAGCACCTGCATAACTCTATAAAGATGATGCTCAGAGCCATATAATACAAATGCGCGCATACAATTCAACATTGGATTTAAACACTTTGTTATTTCTTATCATACAAAGAAACAAATAAATCCCCATAAAAGGATACAATACCCAAAGTGGATAATTTCCATTCCTATGATAATATTTCCATTTTCTTTCTTCTCTATTTTTCTTATCCATTTCTCATAAAACCTATGTCAAATAGTTGCAAGCCAAATATGAATGGCGCGTGATGCTTTAAGCCCTGTTAGATTTTCACATCATGAAGATCCCATGTGTAATTCAAGTATGTACGCTCCACACTTTATTGAGGATTGGAGCCAAGGCCATTTGTGTTCTCTCTTTTCACCCTCCCTGAAGATGATGGCTCATCAGCTTTGGTGCCTGATATCTTTGGTGAAGGCTCTTTCCGTAATGAACTTGGGAGTCCGGAGAGCTCCTGAATAAAGAATATGTGAAGTCCATTTCTCAGTAATAATTTGGCTAATGAAAGAAAGACGAATAATATTAATTTGGCCAAAACCCTTGCTGAAATTGGAACGTAGAAATTCTCATAATGGGAATATTTGTTATGATTGAATGTATGTCATAATGACATGGACTATGAAAAACCATATTTCATTGGGTCAATCACCATTGAAGTGGACGAGGATGAAAAGCATGCAGCCCAAACACAAGACCCCGATAGCAGGCCCCGCTCTGTATTGATTCGTATATGGAATATGGTTCTCCACAGTCCACAGGATTGTAGGAAACCTTTGTAATGATGTACAACACTTCTAGTTCCTACAAGTAGAAATCTTACTTAAGAAAAAAGAAAGTTCCTACAAATAGAAATGCGAGGCCTTGAATTTTTAAACATAGAACAAACTGTATTCGTCAGAAATAGTCAGCCATATGAACTAGCCCAAAAACACAATGGGTGTCAGTCATGTTTCCAAGGAGTTGACAGAGCAATGATATATTGATAATTCAGCAATAAACATATGAAAACCCTTGTTACTATTGGCAGAGGTAAATTTTCGGCTTGAAATTGATTGGAATCAGTTTAGAATCTCAGATTAGTTGTCTAGGCATAGAAAAATGACAAATCCTAAATAATTGTTAAGCCATTCTTTGGGGTCGCTATTAGCTGAGGCACATAACAGATAAGCACCAGAGCAGAGATAAAAAGGGAAGCCCTTATCAAACAGTAACTCAATTACACTGCTTATTAATGGCATTTTTGCGATTGAATGAGACTGGGTCATTCATTCTGAACGCTTTCCAAAGGAAACATAAATCAAATTTACCACTTGCATATTGATAAAGCCGCGTGTAGTGGTTATATTCGGTATGGTCGGGTATCTGAATAAGAAAACAAGTAGCCACTATGTTCCCAAAGCCTGTTTACATTACCAGCAAAATGGTAGAATAATGCCAACAATTCAACTCTCTCAATCATGGACCTTCAGCTTCTTCCCCAAGTAACCCTTACCCTTGTTGTTTGCTCCATTTGACGTCTCTAAAAGCCTTGACATCCCCTCCTCACTTCTCTAGATACACACTTATGCTCATTCAATCCTCCCAACAATTTTACCTGTTCTCTGATCCATCCACGATCCACCTCTTTTTCTTTACCAGACAGGGGCCATCTCCTACACTTGGTTCCCTTTCACTTTCCAATACAGCCTATCCAGTGCTCTGCTTGAACATGCACACTAATCATATAAAAATGCATGTAATCCACCGTTGAAGTATTTCCCTAGGATCACATTGATTTTCCCTTCCCTGATCATCATCATCATCAAAGCTTTTTCCCTTCCCTAATAATGGTCATTAATAATAGTCTCCCTAGTCTTCAAAAAATAAATAAATAAAATAAAAAATAAATGTCCCTAGTTCAGAACCATTGTCCAAAAAATCGGTTCGGACAAACCAGTCTCCGAAGTACATTGAAAGACAAATGCTTTCCTATTGATAAAGAAGTTCAAGTATCTACCCACCCTAGATCGTCACTTGGACCTATCTATTGAGATTTTTGTCCACCTTCTTCCTACACTCCATGTTTTCCTTTGTCAGATTCAGCTGGTTCCCTATTTACCCAGGCTCAACTTGCCCCAAGTCAACCCAGCAACACCAAACTTCTCCCCATCTCCTGCCCAATGATCAAAAAGTCGTCCGTCCGACTGCCTAGGCCGCTTTTTGGAAAAATGCGTAGGTGTGCTTAAGGCGGTCACTGTTAGGGGTGGACGATTAGGTGATCGAAAAGGAGGGAAAAGGCGCCTGCCTAGGCAGCCTGCAGGAGATTGGTGGAAAACAATTTCAGGAAGGGGCAAACAATGTCATTTTACCCCCTTAAAAGGGGGGAAAAGGGTTTGGAGGGCTATTCTTGCCTCCAAAACAATTTTAGTGAACTTTAGAGTGAGAAACAACTTGAAAAAAACTAGATTTGAAGATTTTTTGAGAGATCGAAATTGTTTTCGAAATCCTTGAATGGTCACGATATTAAAGGATATTCAACCCCAATCTTTTTGAGGCTTATATGGGGGCTGCAAATAGGAGATTTGGGATCCCAAACATTTCAATTTGGCCCAAAATCGAGTCCACTTCAAGAAGGTTGGTATATTTCAACAGTTTTCATTAGGTTTTGTAATTTTTTCCCCTAATGTCTAATGATGTTATTTTTTGCTATTTGTATTTTTTCTTTGATACTTTGTGATATATATTTGATATGTTATTGTCTATTTCGATTATTATTTTATTAGTTAATTTAATAATTGCTTATTAAATAATTGCATGTGTAATGTGTTTTCTCGATATATGATTCATAAAGCATAATTATTTTATTAGTTAGTATAATATTTGCTTAATGCTCATTAAATAATTGCATATGTGATATTCTTTTTTGATTTTGTGTTATATCATTGCAATTTTAATGTGTATGTTTTACCTAGATTTATTTTTTGGCTTAATAAGAAGCCAATATATTAAAGGGTCAATGCCACTTCCTTTTTTTTAAAAAAAAAAAAACCACTAGCTGTTTTTGGGTCTGGGCGCCGCCATCCTAGGCGGCCACCCCCCCCCCCCCCCAACAGCCTAGGCGGCCACCTCCGACTTATTGAACATTGCTCCTGCCATATACTTTCCCCATAAACAAATCATCCTAGAAGTAGTGTGCCGCCTACTTTTTTTACGACATCAGAAAGCCTTCTTTTCTCCAAGGATAATTTCACTTCCAAGCATTTAAAAACGCTTAACAAGTGCTATATCGTAGAAAAAATACATGCAATTTCCATTCTGTTTTCAGTCATTATCTCAACCTCAGAAAGTAAAAACACTCACCACCATTTTTTCTTTCTGAGGATATACTCACTACCATATTCAAGGTAAGAACAGCTATGAGAAGAACCAGATATTTGTATACTTGTTACTTATCATAAGGAAACAAAATTTCACATTGTGAACAGCATGGTAAAGGCCAAACCACAGTCTGACTCTTGCATTCTTTATGGACTTTTATTTTTGTTAATTCTATTCTGTCTCAGTCATCATACAGTTGCTTATTTTATCTAAATGTGTCAAAAGAGTCCCAGAAGTAACATTCAATAATATCTATCTAAAGAACTCAACCAAAACACTGAAAATAAAAAAAGACAGTTAGAATTTTGATGCATGAATATGACTACGGACATGGCTATGTGTCCGTCCCTTTTGCAAAAGTACCCAGATGGAAAGTTACCGATCTTGAAATACATATAGAACACAGACCAGAAACTAAGAATTGATGATCCTAAATTACAGTTGACATAGAATGGCAAGACAGACTATGAAGTGTAAGAAACCTTGAGACTATGTTACAGCTTCCACGGAATGTTCCAATTCACAGAGTGTGTACAAATCCTCCATGATTTAGGCCTCTACAATCAGACATAGTGCAAAAGCAACATTAATCATGCCAATATTAGGCCATGTCTGGTAACTAAGAAAGCTGTTTTCCTAGAGAATCTGTGAGAAACTGGAAGCCTGAGGAAAAGGTAGAAGTAGAAAACTTGTGGTGGAAGCTAAGAACCTTTGTTTGGTAACCTATATGTGAAAATCGGAGAAAGCTCAGGCTAGAGATTGGGGCAAAAAGAGATTGAGAGGGGAGAGACATCCATAAGGTTAGATAAATAAAAGGGGGACGAGGGGGGTCTTGCATTTTCCCTATTTTTTTTAAATCGGCAGTTAGTTTTCCCCAAATTTGGGGAACAGCATGGAAACGTGGGGAAATCGGGGGCTTCGCATTTCCACACTTTTCCCCAATCCCAAATAGGGGAAAATATTGTAATTGAGAAAACATGGTATTGAGATGTTTTCTCCTTGTTTATACGCGAAATTTCAGCAAAAAAATATTTCCCCCTGATTTCCCGTTTAAACTCATCGATTAAAGGTACTCCGCGTTTCCACACTTTTCCCCATTCCCAAATAGGGGAAAACATAGTAATTGAGAAAACATGACATTTTCTCCTTGTTTATATGTGAAATTTCAGCAAAACTAATATTTCCACCTGATTTCCCATTTAAACTCGTCGATCAAAGGTAGAAAGAAATAAGGGGTTTTGTAAAATTATGGATCCTCGAAAAATTGACCAAAAGTGACCTTTTTCACAGACCACCGATCATGCCGGCAAAACAATGCCTTAGAACCAAAAAAAAGTTTAAACAAGTAAAAGGGGAGGGGGGGTCCAAAAATACTTTAAAAATAAAAATAACAAGACAAAAATAAATAATAAAAACAAAGGGGAAAAAAAAGGGCACATACCCATTTGAGGGAAGCCAGGTCCACAGGCCCGACACTCAGAGTTAGCGGCCGGATCAAAGTTTGACAGTGTGAGGGGACCGTTCCCATTGTCGTCGAACGGATGAACAAGAGACACTCAATTTCTAAAGCTATTGTTGAATCGAAATGGGGCCTTCACGGGTTCTTGGTATGACTTGAAGTTCGATCTCTCTCTCTCCATCAGTCTTCCAAACATCTTTCTCCCTCTCTCTCCACTCATTCTTCTCTCTCAATGTCCCTCTCTATCTCTCCATCACTCTTCCCAATATCCCTCTCTCCATCACTCTTCCAATCTCCCTCCACTCAATTCTCAACAACTCCCAAGGTCCCCATCTCTCTCCTATATGACTCCCACTCCATCTCTCTCAAACCTAATTCTCAGTCTCCCTATTTACCCCTTCTCTCTCCACTAATCTCACTCCCAAGTCCCAACACTACCCATTTCTCTACGCATTAACCTTTTTTTAAAAACATGCCCCTCTCCTGACTCCCCCTTGGAACTCACACTCTCCCATATAACTCCACACACTCAACCTCTCTCAGACTCAACACTCGCTCCAATGCACATCTCCCTATCTCTCCACCAACTCATGCCCCAACCTCTCCCTCCCAACAAAAAAACTCTCTCAGCGTAAACCCATGCGACCCCAAACCCTATCTCCCTCAAGCCTTTGCCTATCTCAAGCCACTCTCCCTCAAGACTCTCTCTCATCGTCAAGCCTTTCACCCTCCTCTCCCCTTTGCAGCCATTGGGCATCATATTTTCCCTTCACAGCTCCAATAACAAGTCCTAGCCTCTTCATATTCGCTCTCTAAATCCCCACAAAAGCAAGCACATTCACGATCAATACAAGGATCAATGAGAGGGATATCGAACTTCAGAATCCATATTGAGACCCTGTGAAGGCCCCATTTCAATTCGATGATAACTTAAAAAATTGAGCATCTCTAGCTCATCCGTCCGACAACAATGGGAACGGTCCCCTCGCACCAACAAACTCTGATCCGAGCCATCAAATGTGGGCTTGGCTTCACCTCAAATACGTATGTGCTCTTTTTTTCTCCTTTTTTTTATTATTTATTTTTATCTTGTTATTTTATTTTTAAAGTATTTTCATCCACCCCCACCCCCCCCCCCCCTCAAAAACATTTGCTATGTTTTAATTTTCTATTTTTTTCTTTCTAAGGCGAAGTTTAGCCGACACGATTGGCAGTCCGTGAAAAAGAGGTCATTTTTAGTCAATTTTTGAGAATCTATGATTTGACGGAGCCCCTTATTTTCTACCTATGATCAACTAGTTTAAACGAGAAATCAAGTAATAATCATAAATTTCCACCTGATTTCCCTTTCAAACTCGTCGATCAGAGGCAGAAAAAATAAGGGTTCCGTCAAATTATGGATATCTGAAAAATTGACTAAAAATGACCTCTCATTCACGCACCACCGATCGTGCTGACTAAACTTCACCTTAGAACCAAAACAAATATAAAATTAAAAAAAACAGGAAAATGGGTAGGGGGTTTGAAAATGCTTTAAAAATAAAATAACAAGACAATAATAATAACAATAACAAAGGGGAAAAAAAAGCACAAACCTATTTGAGGCAAAGCCGGCCCCAAAGGCCCGACACCCAGAGTTGACGGCCCGAATCAGAGTTTGTCGGTGTGAGGGGCCCGTTCCGGTTGTCTTTGGACGGATGAGCCAGAGACGCTCAATTTCTAAAATCGTCGAATTGAAATGGGACCTTCACGGGGTCTCGATATGGTTTCTGAAGTTCGATCTCCCTCTCACTGATCCTCATATGGATCGTGAATGTGCTCGCTTTTGTGGGGATGTAGAGAGCACCGAATATGAAGAGGTCGGAGGCTTGGTATTGGAGATGTAAAGGGAAAATATGACGCCCAATGGCTCCAAAGGGAGAGTAGGGAAGCAAGAGAGGAGGGTGAAAGGCTTGACGTTGAGAGAGTGGCTTCAGTTAGGCAAAAGCTTGAAGGAGAGAGGGTTTAGGGTCGCGTGGGTTTAGGTTGAGAGAAGAGGTAGGTGTTTTTTGGGTTTGAGGGGCTGAGAGAGTTTTTCATTGGGAGGAGAGGTTGGGGTTTGAGGCAGTGGAAAGAGAGGGAGGCGTGCGTTGGAGAGAGTGTTGAGTCCGAGAGAGGGAGAGAGGTTGAGTGCGTGGAGATATATGGGAGCGTGTGAGTGTGAGTTCCACGGGGGAGTCAAGAGGGGGGCGTGTTTTAAAAGAAAGGTTAATGCATGAGAGAAATGGGTAGGATTGGGACTTGGAGTGAGATGTGTGGAGAGAGAAAAATAAAATAGGGAGAGAGAGAGAGAGTAAGGTTTGAGAGAGAGAGATGGACAGGGAGTCACATGGGAGAGAGATGGGGACCTTGGGAAAATCATGTGGGGCCCACTTGATTTAATTGTTGAGAGTTGAGTGGGGGAAGAGAGAGAGAGAGAGAGATGGATGTTGGGAAGAGTGATGGAAAGAATGAGTGGAGATTGAGAGAGGGATGTAGGGAAGAGCGATTGAGAGAATGAGTGGAGAGAGAGGGATGAGAGAGGAGGACAAATGAGGAGAGAGAGAGAGGGAGAGGGATGTCTGGAAGAGTGATGGAGAATGAGTGAAGAGACATTGGGTTTAGTGAGAAAGAAAGAGAGACAGATGTTGAAAGGAGAGAAGTATGGAGCATGGAACATGGAGTACTAGGGTGTACTATAGCTGTATGGTCCCTAATGTGGTTTAGGTTAGAAAAGTCATGTTTTTGGTAAGGCAAAATTAGGATTTTGACTAGAGAGGGTCTAAGCCAGATTTCTAGGATTTCAAAGATTTTCGGTTCCCTAGAATTTCCTCAGCGGAAAAATGGAGTGTCTACACTCTTGTTATCTCAATTACCAAACTGGGCCTCAGGCATTCACAAATGTTCCAATTCACAGACTATGTTTACAGATCCTCTTTAGGCCTCTAAATCAGACATAGTGCAAAAGTTTAAATTAATCATGCCAATTTTAAGCATTAACCTTCATCAAGTGAAGCCTCAAGTCACAAGGCCGGACACCCTCCCCTATGCATGCCATAACAAATTGTGAATATTGAAAGAGAACATCTGCAGCTGCTTGCTTCTTTTCCTCAACCTGCAATAATTTCAATATATTTTAGTCACTAGAAAATACAGACAATGTGTTCTTTAAAAGCACAATATGAGCAATTAGTGGACATCAAAGACATAAGATGCCAACATATATGTCTGATTAGATGAATTAGCTTAATACTAAAATCAATCTCAAGGATTCAGATGGGAAAGAACCAATAGCACTATGGTGCGAAATAAGGGTATTTTAAGAGTAGACAAGAGGGATTGTTAATAGAAAAAGAGTACAAATCAAAAGAGGAAGTAATGATAAATGCAACAAGTCTCTCAATGCTAAACCATTCTCACTTATACCAAAAATTTGACAGTCTTATCAGTCATCATATTTCTTCCCTAGCCCCTTTTTTCTAAAACCCCAAGCTGTCCTCTCTTAGACTCTCCACCTCTTGGAGCCTCTAAAGGGACACCCAGAAAAAGGTTTAATAGAGGAAGACTCCATGTCAGGTCATCTCCAAATCGTCACTCGAAAATAGAGCGCGACACAAGATTTTGCAAGTATAAATTTTAGCATGAGACATGCCAGTTTTCTATCAGTGCCAAACCATCCATCCCAACAATTACAAATTAACAATAGTTGTAGCACTCATTATACTCTTATCCATTCCTTCAAATGTGTGGAGGTCAGCTCCTAAATCTTCTATCTTTGCACTTTGATAGTGTCTTTCTATTGACAGTCAGTCCATGGTAATATGGATTTACCAAAGGGGTCTCGATCATCCAAGAATAGCATAAGATGATTAAAAGCCAATTTAATACCAGCAATGATACCAAAATATATTTATGGAAATCTCTTCTTCTATTGGACAATGGAATCATTCATCAAATTGTAATATCTCTTGTTCACACTTCAACATAATCAAGTTGCAAAGCCTAAGAATAGACATGCGCTGAAGGTTACCCATTCTTTCATAATTCCATTAAGCTACCAAATACTTTTTTCGCCAGAAGCAATTTTGACAACCTAAAATACTTTATTTTTATTTCTTTATTTTTTAAAGCAGATCACTTAGCCTAGAAGAAATCTCTAGCTACCCACATTTGATTTAACAAATCTACCATATGTTTTAAACCAAGAACCTCTTGAATATGGCCACCTAAATAAATTTGAATGTGCATACATTATTCAAATTCCGAAGAACTACATAATTAATATAGAACCAATGTCTAATAATCCAATACGTGTGCCTTTCTTGGTTTCTATGACACCGATCGTTATGCAAGAAATGAAGAAAGAAAAACCAACCAAAAAAAAGGTGCTTCCGCATCGATGAGCAAATAAGTTGTACTAGAAACAAGATTAAATTGCCACTGCAATACTTGCTAGCCAAGTTTCTGATTAGTGATTACTAATACATCCCCATTTTCAATGACCCCATTAATCCTTTATCTTTAAGTCTATCTCCACATAGTGAAAGGGAATCCTCACCAGAAAAGCACCGAAAGCCAAAAGTCACATAACTCTATGGGAGTATGGGTTGACCACAGAGTCCATCTTTTCAAGGAGAAGTAAATGATCAATACATATACAATCCATAGATCTTGGACAGTTCTGCAGAATCCAGAGAGTTTCGTATTCCCCAAATAGTCTTGTTCATCGACAGATTCCAGTCGAAATTGCACGAACTCAATCCATTTGTGCCAGTAATCACCACAAACAAATGCACTAGATTAATTTTCCTATTATAGAAGAAATAGTTTCTAGGGTTTCTCGTATTCATCTTAAACATGGAAAGACATATCTGTGAAAATCTAGATAACTGTGAAAATCTACAATTAAAACAGAAGAAAAAATAGAGGGAAAAAATGGTCTCAACAATGATAGCTCGAGCCCTTCGTCAAAGCCATAGAAATTCATGGTACACGCAAATATCACAGAGAGAGGGAGAGAGACCTCGTAGTCATCAATGGCTTTAGTCGGAGATGTATCGATCTGGCAAGGTTCGTCTTCTTCCATCTACTCAGAACTTCTCTCGCTTGCACCGCAAATGCCGTTTTCGAGTCCTCTCCCCTCTACCTCCCTCAAGTCCTCTTCTCGGATCTCACCAGGTCCGTTATAAACATTTGCTCTTTCGTAATGGTACCTGGGTCATTATAAATCTCGGAAAAGTATAGAAACAAAACTCGAGGCTTTGCAATGCAACGTCCTAGGCTCAATTCCTAATAAGAGCCCTCGTCCGAACTCCGCCTACAAAAATATATATTTGATGAGCATTGTCCATTTACTTGTGATTTGATGCTGCTGTAGCATAAACTTTGTCCATTTACTTGTGATTTGATGCTGCTGTAGCAGGAACTCTGTCCATTTACTTGCGGATGTTACATCCGTAAATAATTTTATTTGGGTTTCTCAGAGATTATTTATTTTTTATATAAGGAAGTTACTATCTTTCATATCTCTTAAATTTTAAAATGGGTGATTGTAAGATTATCATTGAATAGATACGAAGTTTCAAAAACAAATTGTCGGATTTCAGTACTCACTCCAAGCCATTTAATTTGACATATAATGAATAGGAATATTGTGAACTCTATATACAAATGATAAATTGTCACTTTCTAGACAATCCCCCTTAAAATTAGAGAACGCAACCTCTTCCATCTATAAACTAACCTAAAAAAAGAGAAATTCTAATTCACATTACTCTATGCACTTGAAAAAATAATCTTAAATTTGGATGGGGACTATCCAATTTTTTTGGAAGATCAAATCTAAGCCTTAGAAAAAGTATCCCCGCTTATCAAAAGTGACTCACAAATCTTAGTGAACTCCATTTTGGATCGCCATAAACCTCCTTGGAATCTTCACACCTCTGAATCTATTTGCTCTCACCATCTTGCGAGTCGCTCGTGGAGAATCTCTATCATGGGGGCAACATGGTGGCAGATGACTTGGCCCAAAAAGCTGCAACCCGCAGGCCACAGTTTGGCGAGCCCAACTTCCAGATTTTTTTATCTTCTCTCATTTTTTCTTATATGGCTGGAACTAAATATTATAGGATTGTAACATAAGATTTGTACTTCCATTTCTTTCACTATTAATGAAAACGGGGAGGCGCACAAATCCCCATTAATTTACCCAAAAAAAAAAAAAAAGACTGAAATTCATATTCTCTTTCCAATATAATCATCTAGTGATTTTTAGATAGTTCTTAAGATTTTATATTCAAAAGATCCACCCAAACAGGTCATTTGCTCGAGGGAGTGGATGGATGGTAATGCTCCCACAAGAGCATAGCATATTCGCTCAAATATCCTCCAAAGTATATCTTTTGCCTGAGATGTAGATAGATAATATGCTCCCGACAGGACTATAGTATATGTGTTAGGATACATAATAGAGTATTTTAATTGTATCTAATATGCCCGTTCAGGAGCATGCAATGGACCGATGCCCTCAGACAAAAAAAAAACTACTTCGGAGATTTCTTTGACATGAAATATTGAGATTCACATGAGAATCATTCTATAATTATTTTAGAAAAATCAAACTTCAATTTTCAAATGTCAAATACTTAAACTTGACTGACCAAAAAATGGGTGGGCACTATTCAATCGTAGGATGTCATTTTTTCAGGCGTAATGTATTTGATATTCCTTTTATCTCACTTTTCTCTTTTCTTTTCTTTTTTTTTTTTTTTTGAAGTTAATCTTTTGTTGAAGTGGTTACATCCTCAAATTTGAGAGCCTCCAATGGGTTTTACTCAAGGAAGGGAATAGAAAAAATACTATGCATGGAGCTATGAAAAAGGGAAAACGTTTATGTAAGGTTGCAATAACATATCAAAATATACTCTAGAAAAGAGTGCTCCGAAGTCGGTGAACCTTCTAATTAATCATATTAACCTCGAGATGTATAGCCATAAAGAAGAAAAAAAACTTCAAATCCAAAAAAAAATGCTTCTTGTAGCAAGTTATTTGAGGACCATCTATTTTCAAGATTTTCAAATATTTATAGATCTGGCTTATCTATACCATTTTTAAAATGTTCAATTTTATAACTATGTCTAGTACAAATTTTCAAACTAGTACGAAGTTTCTGACACTGAAACTATATCTTTAGACAAAATTTAGAAGTGCACTTAACTCTACAGTAGAAGAAGGCAACCTTATGTAAACCTCACCCATGAAAAAAAGTTACTCCCTTAAATTCTCCTAAATGACTCCCTGTCTTCACCACATCCATCTCCGATGGTTCTCCTCAGCAGAATATGGTGCTATCCTCACCATATGATGCTCAGCATAAGAGATCTCAATTACAAAGGGAATGCCTAGAGTAGAAGGGTAGTACGTGCAAAGTGCATACCAACTCCTCTCGAAGAGTAGTGATAATTGCATGATGTTTCATATGCCAACCTAGTGCTATCATCTGTTCGTATTTTTTATTTTGAAAAACATTTGTATGTATTTCAAAATAACACTACATTTTGTGTGGTTTTTTTAAGTTTTATTTAGTAGAGAGAGAAAGGTGCGAGTTTTTAATCCCAAATTGAAGAGAAAAGTATGTATTGAGTGGTATTTAAAAGTGTCATTCTCATGCCAATGTTCTTTGCAGTAGGCTTCTGGTTTGGGTGCATAGAACCTAAAAGTACAACAAAAGGTATCCCGAAGACAAATTGCCCTTTCTTATGCACAAATTTCACAATCTAGAAGGGGAGCAAATATCATTTTGAGAAAGCGCTCATGCGTACCCAAAAACATGAAGGAATTTCACTCATTTTTGCTTATTGTTTTTACTTTTTGCCCTTTTTTCACCCAAATGTTTCCAACAATTCCAGATGATATTTTACCGGTAAAAAAACAAGGATATTGTCATGACTTAGTTGAAAGTCATGAACCTTGATTTCATAAGACTCAAGCACTTTAATGGAATGAGCGACGCAATATAAAACATACCGGCAAACAACATACTGTGTTTTAAAGAGATAAATAAAAATCGTGAAGGAAATCACAAGAAAGAACAAAACATGCGGATTCCAGCAGGGGCCCATAAACACAAGAGAAGAAACATCTACAAAGGGATCTCTCTTTCTACAAGAAACACTTTCTTTATTCCATAAAATTCAATTCCCTCCATTACAACTCGTGTGCTCCTTTTAAAGGAGTTTTGATTCTACAAACTAAAGAAAACTACTAAAAGAAGATAGCTACCAAAAACTATTACGTATTCCCACCTTATTCAACTCCTACCCACGTTATCCTTCACAAATTAGGCCTTTCCTCCCTGTAACTAAAAGATTAACTACTTTGTAATAAGATTAGGCCTTTCCTCCCTATAACTAAAAGATAACTACTTTGTAATAAGATTAGGCCTTTCCTCCCTATAACTAAAAGATAACTACTTTGTAATAAGATTTCCTAGCATCTCACGTCCCTATGATAGGGGATAAGCTTCCTTCAATTTATGGATTCCCATTCTCAACCTCTTAAAATATCTCCCTACCAACTAACTAGAATGATAACTAACTAAAACAAATCTATCTATTAAAGCAAACTCTCTTCATCTCTAAAAGATATATCTAAATGATTTTACCTCCTAAAAACAAGCCACTTCTTACTAAAACCTCTTTTTTTTTCACGTTGATCTTAAAAGTACGGGTCTTATCTAGAAGACAACTATACCTAAATCCAACCCATACATAAAAACGGACTTATAAAGAGAAGATTTATCAAACGGACCCCAAAAATCCTATATTTAATAATTAATCCTAATAAATAAAACTACAAGTCTATTCAACCTCTAAAAATAAAATTAACAAAAAAAAAATTAAAAATTTGTGGCATCCAAAATTTGATATGCATCAATGAGCTTCAAAAGATGGCAACAAAAGGGACTCTTCTTGCACACTACTATCAAAGTGGCTTCCATAGTCACTGAATCAGTATATGAATGACCGCCTACAACTAAAGATTCTACTGAGGAGCAAACTCAAGCTTACATAAGATGGATGGAGGATGATTACATCTCAAAGGCCATATTCTCAATGCTTTAGTGGATCCCATATATGATATGTATGTATCAGTCGCAAAGGCGAGAGAATTATGAAAGCTTCTTGAAACGAAATATCTCTTAAGAGTCTGATAACACAAGATTTCTTAATCCTATTTGTCTGGATATTAAATTCATTGAAAACAAATCAATTCTTCCTTACGTATATAAGTTGCAGCTTGTAGTCAATGAACTTGAAGATTGTGACATTCAATTAGATGAATCTTTACAAGTGGGCACTATAATTCACAAGTTATCTCCATTTTGGAATTAGTATCAAAAGAAAATGAAGCACAAGGAAGTAGACCTTAATGAAAGAAATACCGATGTGATCTTTGCTGGGGAAATATAATTTTTAAATTTTTTTAATAATAATCAACCTTTATAAATTTGGCAACAAGATCACTCACAGATGGTCTTATTACAAACAATAAAAATTTCAAAAATAAACAACACATCAATAAAATAAATCTCAACTTCTTGATGCCATTCATACAACCTAATACTGTGCTTGAGAATATGAAATAAAGAACAAGTGAGTATAATATAAAGATGCCGGAGATTATCTCAACCGGACTTCTTACACCCCATACCGAGTCACCGCATCTACGGGCTCGAGATCTGCAGTCTAGCTTCAATCTCGAATCGGGAAAGCTGATTTCGGCCAAACTATGTAACCATCTGTAATTCTTCACAAAACCCTAACCTCCAAAAATAACTTAGGCTTCCCTCTAATTTCTACAACCCTTAGTTTCTTCTTAAGTCTAGGGAGAAAAAGAGTAGTAATTAGAGTTAGGGTGTGGCCACCCCTTTGAAACTTTGGGATAGAGAGGGTTAGAGCGAGAGTGGGATGTGCCCCTCAAAAAGAGAGAGAGATTGCTATTATTTTAGAGATAGGAAAGAACTCTTCTATTTATAAAGAAAATAAGATCTAGGGTTTCTTTATGGTTTTCCATAGTTTGCATCCTTCATGAGATTGAATTTATACCGTTGATCAATGTGACTTGTGAGGTGAGAGATCTGAGTCATCTACTCCATAGACGGGCCATTAACATTATGAAAAGAGCTTGGACCATTATCCCTATTTCCTTAAACCATTTTCCCATCAATATATTTAGAT